TTTCTGCACATTTCCCATTTAATAAAATAGATCTTGCTATTTACATTTGATATTGATAGGCTCTCAAGAATTGCTTCCTTTATTCTAATATCACCGTTTGCTTTGCAATTTCCCAAGGCCACTCGGCCTCGTCGCCACTGGAGTGTCTTACCGTTCGCGTAGAAGAGTATAACTTTATATTTTACCGAGACCTGTCACTACTTTTCTTTTCACGGAAAAGATGTGTCTATAAAAGGTCCTTCATTCAGCTTTGAGTTGCTCTATTTGCTTGCTTTATGATAGTGTTTGTGTCCTAAACTCCCTGCTGCGTTAGTTGAATATGTATATAATTTAGTAAAAAGTTGATGGAGGCGCTCGGATTGTATATCTTTGCTTTTCTATCGTAGTGGGTGTCGCAATGTTCTGCTGTCCATTTTGAACATTGTTATTGAAGTGGTCTTCCTCTTGTCTTTGGATAAGTTTTCAAATAAGGACAGAAGAAGGTCACAATTGGAAGGGAAGAATGATACTGATAGTCTTTAGAGTAAGAAGTAACTCAGTGACGACCTAATGCATTATGCGCGTATCGAATACTTTGGTAGCACCAAAAGGGGTTCTGGCGACAAAGCCAAGGTTTTGTGAAGTTTGTTGAAAACATTGATAGCTACACCATATTTACGTCATTTAGTCGTGCTGGCGTGTGCGACTTCTGGCTATTGCTTCGTAAATTTGAACTCAAATGGAAGAGTGCAACAGCTAGCCGCGATCGAAATAGTGATCACAATCGAAGATAAACTTTAGAACAATGTTTTGGACCAAGTTTGAGCTTTTTAGCAATATTCGGCAGATCGTATGCGCTAGTTAGCAGGAAACGATTATCAAAACGTGCAGCAGATAGAGACAGACTTATACATTTTACATTTGCTTACATTATTCAATTGACTCATAAACTAGGCCAATAGCTTTCTTGCTACTTTGTTACCCATTGAAGAGTTTTAAAAGCTAAGGAACACTTCACACACAAAGCGATTGCTGCACTGTCCATTTATGTTTTAACCACTTTTGAAAGAGCTGTATAGTGCTTTTCAACAACATCCAAGGCATTTCGAAAAGTTGAATATCCCAGAGCACAGGTCTGCCAATTGCCAATAGAAGAATTGGAATTTTAACAATGCGCTTTAACCGAGATTATAAAAGCCACAGCTTGTACTGAATAGGTCATTGATGATCGCTAGAGAGCAGTGAATTTTTCTAGACGGTGTCAAGCTAGCATCAACTCTCATAGGCTGGTCTGAATTTAGCAGAGGGCTTTTTACTCTTTGATTCAGCGGAAAACTATAATTTGCTTAACCCTTGGGCCATAGTGACCGCTCCCGTCTATATTCCGTCTTTATTAGTGTTGGAAACTGATTGAAAAAGTAATATTTAGCCATGCTCTCCTGAAGTTGTTTTGAATGTAGCCAAAATGCGACGGTGTTCCCGTTTGGTCCACTACGCCACGGCCCAACTAAGGCAGGAAACGATGTCACGATTGGAACAAGTTTGTTGCTCATTTCTGTTCCTTGAATTATGCTATATTTGTCTTATTATTGGCAATTTCCGTGCTTACTATCTTTTTTTTTTCATTTTATTCCCTATCAAAATGTTATCTTAACGGTATCTCACCGTTTATTATTTTCTTGCTCAGTCATGAAATATACCCTTGCATCCTCGCATCCATATCTTTTGCTTTAAAGAGACTAAATTACAGGATGAATAGCTCTGCTGTCAGGCTTTTTTTGGACTGTTTGAGAAAACTACTTACTTTACATTTTGGTGCTTTACAATTTTGCGCGGTAGTCATACCTCAGCATCTAAAGCAATTTTTTGCTCTACGTTTCTATTAATACAATAACCAGACACATGCATCTATGTACAACCAAAAAATACATACGTATACACACATACATAACATACATACACATGCATATACACAAATACACACCAATGCACACAAACACTCTTACACACCCATACACACATCCGACACAACTACACACTCAAACCTCACTACTGCACATTACTCATGCAGGAAACACATGCACAAATACATACACATATACACATTACACACGTATACGCACAGAAGTGCACAAGCAACAAACAAAAATGCAGGCCCACGAACGTGACCACACGAACGCAAACTCACGTAAGAAAACAAACACCCATCATTGTGACATCGGAGTGGTCCTGCATTTCTTTGTAGAATATGATATTCATCACTGACGTTCCGTTGTATTTCACTATCTGTAGTGTATTTCCAGGTTGAAGCGAAGTACCTCCACCTGCAGAACTCTTCCAGTGAAATACAGCATCTTCAGAAAGAGATTAGTCGCTGTATGCAGTTTAGGTTGGTCGGCATCTGCGACAGGAGTATCATCATTTTCATTCTACTTTACTCCTCTAGCGCGGGCGATGAAGACATCGATCTCGTTCCTCTCAGTGAATTTTATGCCACTGCTCCAGAAACTGTATCTCGTCCAGAAGTGACAAAAACCAATGAGCATGAGCAACGACTGGCTAGATTGACTTGGGAAATTGCTCAACGAAAAGCGTAAGTACTATGTGGAGCACCATCGGTGAATGCTGTCTTGCAGCCAGCTTATTCAAGCTTAAGTCGTAAATCTAGGCTCGTAGACACCCTAACTGAGCAAGAAGGTCGTCGAAACGTGTTGATCAGCAGCATAAACGGAAAGGAGCAGAGGCTCAAAAGTCTTCGCTCTAAGATTTCAACGCTAATGGCGGTAGGTGTGTACATCTCGTGTTGTTATCGGGATACAAGGGTAGCAAGAAGATTCCTAAAGTCTGCATGATTGTGAAAGTTGAAAGCGGATCGATATTTGTCGCGAAAGGGGGCTCTGATATATCTCAGCTCAACTCTGTCTTTTCTTTCTTTTTTTCTAGATAGATGTTCAAATAACAATCACGTCGTGTATGCAATCTTTTCAAATACGTGCTCTAATTGCTATGAAGCAGCGCTTTTGGTTCTGACATACATCCCATTCCATAATTTTTCTAGTCGGCTAAACCGGTACAAGAAGCATTGGGAGTTGGTAATGCTTCGGCCTCCTCTGCTGAGCAACGATCTCTCTTTTCCTTACTTCCACATGATCTCTCCGTGCTATACGTACAGGCAGAGGCTTACAGAGATATCATGGAAGGTGAGTCAGAGAGAAACCGGTCTTTATGTTTGCTGATCATATACGTTTCTCAGACGCAAGTATGCAAGTGGTTATTCGCGGCGATCCAAATGAAGCTCTGCGCTTAACGCGACGACAGAAAGAAGAATGGGAAGAAAAGGATAATAGCGATGATGATGGTAAACAACTGAAGGTCATTTTTCAGATTTGCCGCGATCTAATTAAACCCAATTCAGAAGGTAGCGATAATGAGAGGCGTCATCATGGTGTTGTGTCGGATCGGCTCGAGCTCAACAAGAAGACGGTGACACAGCCATATCCAATTTACTTAAAAATCGAGATTGGATGTCAAGGTAAGGTAACTTAGATTAAAAATGTACTTTTCAATTTACATCAGTTTTTTAGATGAAGTTAAAGTCGCTTTAAAGTTGTACTATCTACCGGAATTGCGCGTTACTTGTATGAAATACAAAATTACTGGTAAATTGCCGACACACGGGTAAGTAATGTATCAAGGATAATGTAGTACATTTTATTTTACACTTGCAAACCTTTCAGCTGTCTCTAACATATTTTTC